AAATATTAAGCACCACAAACTGTTTCTAACTGTTTTTTTAGCAGCGTCAGCGTCAACGCCTCTCAATAGGCTTGTTTGAGATGAGCAAAATCTGCGCAGAACCGATCACTGGTGATCACCGCGAGATGCATGCCGGTTAGAAAAGTGTCCGAGTTACCGACTTGCTCTGATGTCACGCTGACGTGTGGCAAAAAACTCTCGCGACGGCGAGGCGGCTGTGTCGGATTGTGCAGTCCAGCACAGTTGCTCTCCACCGACTGCGCTGATCAAAAGCATGATGGGAAATGACTGACTGATGACACAGCTTAATGCTCATTGGTTCAGACAACTGTGGCGCTGCGTTCTCTTCTAAAATGTTAAATTTTTTTATCTGATTCCATGTGATTATGTGTTTAAATTATGCAAGAATGTTCCCAAACACTATGACAGTACCATCTCTGTGTGAGATAATGTGATGGTTGTCATATTGCTATAAAAATCTAAAATATATGTTTGTATTAAAGTAAAAATGGATGATAAATATGCCTTTCGTATGGAATTTAATAGCAAGCACTTTGAGTGTCTTGTTCATCATATTTACTTTCATATAAAAGCAACAGAACTCAAATTATATCATGTTTATTAGCAACACAGCATGTGAGTGTGAATAACGCGATATCTGTCTTTGATCTCGTTGGTATCTGTTCACTTCGAGAGGGCAGAACTGTCCGTCTTGACTGAGCTTATTTCACTCCTCCCCTCACTGCAGTCTCCTACTCTCGCCTTCATTTCAGGCGAGGCGAGGCGAGGCGCATCTCAAACAAGCCTATTTACTTTGAATGGAGTGACGTCAAGCGTTGGCGAAATTAATTGTGGGTCTGTCGCGTCGCGTTGGGTCCGTTGCTCGCGGCAGAAGTTGAAAACTTTTCAACTTTTCAAGCACCAATGCAGGCGTCAGCCAATCAGATCGCCTTATGCAAATACCCTAGCGCAGACGCTAGCCAATCGCGTTCATGCAACACCAGAAGACTAATGTTATTGGCTGTTGTCACTCTGACGGTCACGTCAGCACCAAGCTTCAGAAACGCCTTCCGTCAAGCGTTAACGCTGACGCCCTGTGTGAAAGGCTCATTTACACTTCTGCGTCGGACCTACGCCGTAGGCTATGCGTCAGTTTTCATTTATACTTCTGCGTCGTTGTCCGCGTCAACGTGCAGTACACATGCAAACCGCTAGTCTGCAGTGTCCACGGGCATGTTGCTGGTGTAACCCGCAGTACCACGGCAAAAGCCGAAGAAGAAGCGGCTCGTCGGAGAAGCATTATAGCCGTGATGGCGTCAAATAAATATAAAATCATTAATTCATTATTTAAAACTACAAAAAGGAGACAACAACGGAACAGGAGATGATGGCATTCGTTCAATCTGCACAAGGACTTGTACCACGGCAGATCAACATTGTCTGTTGCGGACAACTACTGATGTATAATGCTATGTAGTAAAATAAATGATAAGATACTTGTTCTTTGCTTTGTTTTATTTTATTTTATATAAGAAGGTGTAACATTAAAATATATTAAAGTGCACATAAACACACAAAAAACTCAAGTACATATGGAGGGAGGGGTTCTTTCAGACCAATCACAGCGCTTGCGGTCTGCGTAGAATTGACGCGCTGTTAGATTTTTGGAGAGGTGCACGTCAGGCTATGGCTTATGGGTGTGCGTCTATGCGTAAGCTACGGCGTAGGTCAGACGCAGAAGTATAAATAAGTCTTTAGATGGTATGTAAATTGGATCTTTTCAAGATGTTTATTCACAAAGTCAACGAATGCACTGGTTTCCAGATTATATGCTCTTTTTTTCACAGACACCTCTGTAATGCACATGTGCTTACCATGATTATTTCAACTCTGTAGCTAGCCCAAAACTACACAGTACTGAGCCATCATTAATATGTAAGTTCAGACATAAGGTGGAAACGCACCACTCTGCTCCCCCTGTAAAAGTGCAATAACACCACAAATCCATAAGCAAGGACATTTCAGCCTGTAGCCATTTTGATTCTCCTCATAAATATTAGATATTCCTTTTTAAAGACTGAAATAGGAAGTCATTGCATGGCGCCTGACCACCGCAGATTCCATTAAAGCTTTTGCAGGGAAAAACATGGACAGCTATAAAACTTTCAGAGCTTCTCTGAGAGGAGGTGAAGCAGGGACACCTGGATTCCTCAAATAATTAATGACTGCTGACGGAAGTAGCGGTCGAACAGAAACTCTTGTGCCAGAGCTAGATAAAACATATTTAAATGTGATGTGGGATATGCCATTAAAAATCTATCACCGGTAAGGGCAATTTGACTGGGTAATGAGAGATGGTTCAGCTAGAATTGTTTGCCTGCAACAGGGTACCGTATCAGCATAATTGAAGGGAAATTATGGCCTAAAAGCTAAAACAAGTTTTGGGAATCTCTAATTAACATAAAATGAGCAATCATCTGCAACACTGCTGCGGTCTCCAGAGCTTTCACAGGTGTGACAGGTCTCCTCCTGGATTGGTGAGCGCACAAGCTGGCATTCTTACAGTCTGAGAGATCTCTAGGCCATGTCTGTCTATTTGAAGAAGATACCAATTGAGAAGACGTCCCCACTTTTAAGGGTTGCAAACATCAAAACAAGCCATTCTACATCCTTCGCATCCACGTCAACTCAAATCTAGAGTCAATCCTACATTTAGGATTGATTTGAAAGTACTTTTACTCGTTTATAAATCATTCAATGGGCTAGGACCTAAATACATTGCAGATATGCTCACTGAATATAAACCTAACAGACCACTCAGATCAATAGGATCGAGTCAGTAAGAAATACCAAGGGTTCACACAAAACAAGGGGAGTCAAACAAAACAACTGATTGCACTATATTTTATGTATAATCTTTTTCTATTCTTAACTGTTTTAAATTGATTTTAAACCTTTTAAATATTTTTTTTTATCATTTTCAAAGTTTTTAAATTCCTTGTTTTATTGTTGTGATTCTTTTACGTAAAGCACTTTGAATTACCACTGTATATGAAATGTGCTATATAAATAAATTTGCCTTGCCCTCACAAAATATCTGCTAAATGGCAAAAAGTGTTCTTCTCCTAGTTAAAAAAAAAAAAAAAAGTGTCCAACCTCAGCCCTGGCTTTAAAACGCACACTTTACTTTTAAATGAGGAATTACATTAAGCTTTCTCAGCAAGTTCATTTAATTAAGTTTCCGATGACAGGATGGTGGAGCAATCTCCACTGAGAATATACTTGCCGTTCAATAACACCCAAAAGCTGTCAAGTGTTGTGCTAATAACCTCTTCTCTGCTAACTTGAATCAGAATACCAAATGGAGTTTTTAAACAATAAAATGCTTTGCTGGCTGCTCATTACTCTCCCGATATTGTGCTTAATAAACGTGATGAATCACTTCAACTGTGCCACATTAAATGGTGCGTGACTGAATCCTGATTCCTCAGAACTCCAGAGTAGGATAAGAGAATCTCAGATCTCGTAGAAATTTCGGATGTAGGTGCAGAAACTCTTATTTAATAGTATATGACTATTGTTGTTCTAAACTTGCAAGGCCTTTGTTCGTCTTTGGAACACAAATTAAGATATTTTTGATGAAATCCGAGAGCTTTCTGACCCTCCATAGATAGCGATGCAACTACCACATTCAAGACCCAGAAAGGTAGTAAGGAGGACATTATTAAAATAGTTAATGTGACATCAGTGGTTCAACTGTAATGTTATAAAGCTACGAGAATACTTTTTGTATGCAAAAAAACAAAAATAACAAACCAGAGGATGCACAATGTTGTGGTATCTTGGAAAACTCATTGATTTTTACTGTGTGTGACAACTTGTTGACCGATCCAAGATGGCGGAAACGTTGACGTGTCTGGAGCGGTCGAATGTGTCATCTACGTACATATATCTATGGAAACCAACTATAACAAAGTTCAGCACAGGCAAACACCACTTACTTTTTCTTCATAAAGAAATCTAGTTATAAATGTTTCTACTGTAACTTATTGGTCATCCATAATTGTGCTTTCACAGTCACACATACAGTGGTGTGAAAAAGTGTTGGCCCCCTTCTTTTTTTTTATTTTTTTGCATATTTGTCACACTTAAAAGATTCAGATCATCAAACAAATTTTAATATTACACAAAGATAATGCAAGTAAATACAAAATGCAGTTTTTAAATTATTATTTATTTTATTAAGGGAAAAAAGCTGTCCAAACCTGCCTGGCCCTATGTGAAAAATAATTGCCCCCTAAATCTAATAACTGGTTGTGCCACGCTTTGCAGCAACAACTGCAATCAAGCGTTTGGCATTATCTTTGTGTAATATTTAAATTTGTTAGATGATCTGAAACATTAAAGTGTGACAAACATGCAAAAAAATAGGAAGGGGGCCAACACTTTTTCACACCCCTGTATAACACCTTACTGTGCCGCCCATTGAGATCGATCCCACACCTCTCTGTTCTGCTCACCTCCATATATCATCCGTCTCTCTCTGCCACTTTCCATTCCTCTTTCCCTTATGTGCAAGGTCGAAACAACCTAACCAAGCATCCTGCTTTGAATTTGAGTCAGACTGGTCTCAATCCTTATGCATTAGCTCACGTCAGACAACACTGGTTGTTGCAGTCTCCTCAACTTGAGACATAAAAGAAAGTCATAAAAGCTCAGACACTGCAGAGGCGGAAGAGGGCAAACATTAGGCTCTTTACTTCATTAATTCATGAACTCCTCTACAATTATAAAGTCTAATGTTGCCTTTTATCTTCACTGCTGGCAACTGTTCACTCTCAACATGTGTGGAAGAAAGACAAAGACAAAAAGAAAGACAGACCAAAAAGATTCTTTAAATAATGAAACTCAATGGAGACATCTGACACAAGTAAATGGTAAATAAAAGAAAAAAAAAAAGTTTTTTTTTAAATAATACGTTTTAAAATGATGACACTTACGAAGTTCTCCAACTTTGAGAATTTCACACAGCATCTTTGTCAGTTCGATACTACTGCGCCCGAATGGACATTCATGTTTATCCTCACGACTGCTGTTCTCCAGTACAATCTGTAATATACAGACAGAATTAAATGTGTTAAAATGTGTACATTTAATAGCACTAAATCTATTAAAGCATAATGCTTTATAGAAAAAAAACACTTTACATTACCTACTTTTAATGTTTGTGTGTAACCCCGTTACTACGTGATTTTTCTATATTTCAATAAAAAAATTAATATACAATATCTATGTGATTTTTCCATATTTTAATTTAAAAAAATATGATTCCACCAGCACCAGTCTGAAATAGTCTGAATATAAAAACATATTATAGGTGTACCGTAGTGATTCAGGATAAGCCAAAAACACGGTTTGGAAAATGGATTCATGATGTACTAGCTTATTATATTAATTTTGTACATTTTGAACTAAAAAAGGTTACGGACTGCAGCTTTAATGGCAGAAAAAAGTAAATAACCACACTCTAATTTAAATCATTAAATTAATCAATTTTATTCATTTTTTATTCAATCCCATTTAAGTAAATATAAGATCAAAAAAATATGTAATTTATGAAAAATTCACATTCATCCATAACCACAAAGCTATAACCTACTGAGTAATAGCTTACTTTAGGCTAAATTTGCAACCCCAGTTACTTTCAACCTTGTTACTCTTTCTTTCATAGTTATTCTATATATATTTTTTAATTTGATTACTTTATTTCATAGCCATATTCAAAAATATAGTCAAAAATGTATTTAGTCTGAAAAACATGACAGATATTTTGAAGAACGTTGGTTTGGACCCCATTGACTTTAAATGGTATGGACAAAAACATTATTCAAAATATCTTCTTTTGTAAATAAAGTGACTGGAATGACATGAGTAAATAATTTTCATTTTTAGGTGAACAATCTCTAATTTTGATGTTTATTTACTTTTTATTGCTAGAAATAACAAAAAATAACGCCAAGCAGGGTTGGAAGCTATATTTCAGGTTAGGAGGGGTTGTTGCTGGAACTTGTGATGAGGGGACTCAAAAAAAGTGTCTTTACACTGCTAAATGTAAGGGTGCTGGAGTGTATACTGAGCACTGAGTGTATTTTAGTGTTTATCAGGGTATCGCTTGAGAGCAGCGATGGGCTGAAGAGTCACAGAACGCAGCTGTGGAGGGCAGTGAAGTGGAATAGTACAGTTAAGGAGTTATGCAAGGAGACAAGAATTGTCCTCATTCAACACCACTCCACTTTCCTTACTCAGTCTATGAGTATGAATAGAGGGGTAGATGACGCATTTTGGAGGAGAATAAGAAAAGTGTTTTTAAAGCAGTAATAGCAGAGAAACCAGACACAAAATCAAATCTCCCATTAAGATTTACTCCGTTCCAGCACTCTTGCACAAACTGCAAGACATATGCAATCTATAACATGCATTTACAAAATGATAGGTTGAATTTCATTTCATGTTATCTTTAATACAACCCATCTAAAGGGATAGTTCACCCAAAAATGAAAATGTCATTAATTACTCACCCTCACGTCGTTCCAAATCCGTAAGACCATCATTCACAAAAAGTATTCTCGTAGCTTCATAAAATTACAGTTGAACCACTGATGTCACATGGTCTATTTTAATGATGTCCTTGCTACCTTTGTGGGCCTTGAACGTGTCAGTTGTGTTGCTGTCTATGGAGGGTCAGAAAGCTCTCAGATTTCATCAAAAATATCTTAATATGTCTTCTGAAGATGAACGAAGGTCTTGCAGGTTTGGAACGACATGAGGGTGAGTAAAAATTAGAGTAACACTTGGCTTTAGAGGTGTTAACTGAGCACTAGTCAGACCATATATAAAACAGATTATAAATAAAAAGCATTTTCTCATTTCCACACCTACGTAATGTGAGCGCATCTTACCCTGATATAAGCGTCCTGATGGTGTCTGGCAAAATAGAGCATGTTGTCCAGAGCTAGCATCCCAGGAGGAATCTGAGTGAAGTCCACTGCAGGATTCACGTGATTCTACACAAACACAAGCATGATCGAGAGTAAACACACACTCCAGCCGTGACTCCATGACTCGCATCGTAATCACACCAAGAGTCTCGTATTGCATTCAGAGCAGCCAAGTCGAGATAAGACAAGTGTCAAATTGGTTCCACTGCACAAACTGCTGAAAGAGTCTGTGATTCAGAAACAAGCCTGCATATCCCCGATGGATGACAAAGGCCCAGCAAGCTTTCTGCAAATGCTAGGACTGTGATATCGGCTCCCTCTACTCGACCGTCTACTTCAAACTAATCTACACATTTCAGAAAATGTGGGACGGTTGCCTTTGAGGAGGAGGGCTCGGTGGCTGTCTGACTGGATTTAGAGTTGCCAATTAAACTGTGTTTGAAAGTTCTTGCTCTGGGGTGCTGAATAGAGGAACCACACAGAGTAAAAACATGGTTTATTACGAGACAAAGAAACAAAGAGAGAAACAGAGCTAGAGGGTATGTTTGGTAGGGCAAACTAACGTTGTACATTTGCAGTTTTGAATACATACCCTTTTTTGGTGTTTTATGCCTTTATTCTGGTAGGACGGTGAGTGGACAGGAAACAAAGGGGGACAGAGAGAGGGGAATGGGATCAGGAAACAGGAAAGGTCTGTGAGTTGGGACTCGAACTCAGAATGCCCAAAGTGCAATGGTGCTACATGTTCACTACACTTATGTTCAACATTCAACACTTATGTTCACTAAAGCTGAATTTTTTTTGGTAAAAAAATACAGTAAATCAGTAATATTGTGAAATATTATTACAATTTTAAAAAATGTTTTCTATTTTAACGTATTTTAAATTGCATTTATTCCAGTGATGATCCTTCAGAAATCATTCTAATATGCTGATTTGGAGCTTAAGAAATACTTATTATTATTATCAATGTTAAAAACAGTTGTGCTTAATATTTTTGTGGAAACCGCAAAAAAAATTTTTTTTTCAGGATTCTTTGATGAATACAAATTCAAAAGAACAGAATTTAGAAATCTTTTGTAGCATTAAGATCTCATCTACTCCAGTCTTTTTGAGGGATAGTGTATGTACAGTATATTATATAGAACATACTGTAGCATACAGTATATACTGCATAGTACAGAGTAGGCAAAACGCTAATATTCCATTCTGAACACCACCGGAGTCCACTGGCAGAGCACAGTACTTAAAGACACGTCTGTGGCGCGGGCACTGGAGACCAATTTCCCATCCATCAATGTGACAATGCCCTGAGAGAGTTGGAACACAGCCCTCATTAGCAACACTGCTGTCTTCACACATTCTGCACTGCTTCCTAACAGCAAATCACAGGGAGAAACAAACTCCACACTTCTCCTAAAACGCAGTGAAAATGGTGTCTAGACCCTCAGAGCTACCTGTCATTTGACATTGTTGGCATGGGAAAACGAGTGAGTGTGTGTGTGTGCAATCTGAGGAGGTGTTAACACCGCAGGAGGAATTTAGGGAAGGCCTTATCTTCAGACAGCACACGGCACTGTGAAAAGGGTCTTAGTGAACCTCAGAAGCTCACAGGGGCTTAGGAGCACGACAACTTCAGTCTTGTCCCCTTCAGGCTACTGACCACAATATGCTCCTGCACACAGGCCTTTCCTGCCTCTACTCCTCTTCACACCTGCCTCGGCCTCTCCTTTCTCTTTCCTGCTACCTTTATATTTTCTGATACCAGGTAAATTGTATAGCAGGCTCATTTACAAATTAATTTATTATTATATTAAATTTTTATAATTATTACAATTTATTAAAAATATATTTATTAAATCACAACACTTTTAAAAATATTTTTCAGCCTTTTGATAATATTTGATATTCAGCGGGGTGCTAAAGAGGGATGGACACCTGCTGCGTTGTCACGGGAACATTCCAGCTGATTATAATGAGGAAATTACACCGCTCCCTTTGCCCAGTGTATTCCAAACGATTACATAATGGCACGCACGTGCCCTGCTCACTCCAAAGTCCCCACTCCCATCTGAAATTGGCGAAACATATTTGCCAAATCCACCAGTATGTATTTGTGTTTGAGCGTCAAATGTTCACTCACCGCTCAAAACGGCGAGTTTGTGTCATGTGCGGAGTTCTGCAAGCTCGCGAATCCTGTCATTATAACAACGTGTAGATATGATGTAAATAAGAGATTCATTGTGCCGTGTAGAAAGCTTATTAACAGAACGTCGTGAGATCGCAATGAACTGAAGTGAGTGACAGCTTTTAGTGATTATAGACAGAGTGCTCTTTGCATGCATTCTAAGCTGTTTTGACTGCCTCAGAACAGATATATTCACCTCAGTAAAGAAATTATTGTGTTTCAAGTCATAATTTTATTTGTCTTGATGCTTCAAAATGACTCTCTTGTGTGCTTTAGGCACGCCGGTGTGAACTGCTGCACACTCGTATAAATGCACGAATGCAATGACTGGAGATTTTCTCTATATAAATTACATTTTCGATTTGTTTCTCGGCAAACCCGACCTTATGCCTTAAGAATACTTGGAATATGGAACGAGTTGCATGGGATAATTTTTATGACATTTGAGTCCTTTTTGTAAAAAGATTGAAGAAGTTTACAATTCATTAAATGGACAAGTGCAAACTTTTTTTTATGTCTTCTTTTATAATCCGGAAAAAAATAAGGTTGCTTAATATGGCTTTAGAACAGCATCAGGTTGACAAATTATTTACTTAAGTTGTGAAGGGGTAATAGTTATAATAAAAAAATAGTTATAGCTATAACCTATGAAAGAGAGCGAGCGAGCAAAATAAGGGTTAGGCATAGAAGAGCATATAGTTATATATATATATATATATATGTGTATATATGTGTGTGTATATATATATACAGTGGGTACGGAAAGTATTCAGACCCCCTTAAATATTTCAC